GTGAAATATTGTAGCTCTTTAATGGTTTTCAGCTATTAGAAGTGAATTATTATATTTGTCTTTCCTCTTCCAGGATCCTTAGTAGCAGGATGGAAGAACTCTAGCTGAAGGAGAAACAGACAAGACGCCCTCTCAGCATGGAGACTGTTCCGGTTGATGGGGAACTAGATAGAATTTCAGTAAGTAACTTAAATGAGGCTTCATGTAATCAGATGAACATGAAGATGCTTTTGCAGGGAGAGGATTAAACGGCTTGAATCTGTTCTAGTTTGGTTTGAATTGATGCTTTTCTGGTGATGCGCTTGGTCTGGTGTACACCATAGTAAAAAAATTGAAACCGAAATATTTTTATTTAAAAAGCACATATTTTAAGGGACATTGGACCTCATAATCTTGAAGACCTTGAGTGTATGTAAATCCTGACACTTCCCAGAATTTTACATTTTTTGAAGGGTCATATTTGCGATTCTTCAGTATTCCAGAGTTTTAGCTGCAATCTAATTTTTTTAAGTTCCATTTGTCTGATTAAAATTAATGAAATACATGAGTGGCAAACATGCATGAAGACACTCATCAGTGCTTTTCTACATGGTTTAAGTCTTTTAGAGAGTTTCTGGGAGGTACCTAAAAAAGCCCTTTTTTGAGGTATCAGCTTTATAATGTGTTTTTGGCTTGCACATAAAGGGAAAACAGAGGAGGAGGAGATCACAGAACGTAATATCATATGCTGTTCTTTCCAGGCTTTTACTGTAACCTTCAACAGGAGAAGAATACTGTTTTATAGGACAAGTTGGCAGATGTAATTTTAGGTTTAGTAGAAGTTGTTAGAAGCTTTATTTCTGAGAAATGAATGTCTAAAAATAGTACTTTTCTGAAGCACAGAGCTGCTTTTGTATGAAAACGGAATTATGGCTGCTGTCTCATGTGATGGTTGCTGGTTTTATTCCTTAGTCTTAATCTAAAACTTTGCTGGGAGGAGCAAAGGAACATTTTCAACTAAGTGTGCCTCAGCAGAAGCTAAATCAATCGATCGAGGTGTTGAGAACCTCTCTTATCAAAGGATTTGTTCAGTAATCTGTAATCAAAGTCATCAATTAAATAAATGTGAAATTAAGGGTAGGCTGTGTCTCTGGAAATAAGTGTATGTTTCTCTTAATTTTGTATATTTACAATAAAAATTGTGGGAGATGATGGACAGGAATGTCCCGAGGGCATTTTTTTTTTCCCCAGAGAAAACATTGAAGTAGTAAAACTGTCATTTTTTTATTCCCTTAGGGGTTTGAATCCCTGATCTGCAGTGATATAAATTGCAGATGGTAGAGGTGCAAGAGGCTATTGGAACATGAGGAGGTCTTTTTGACTGAAATAGTCTCATTTCAGTATCTTAACATCTTGCATCAATATTTAGAAATATATATTCTACAGGGTTTAGGTAAATACACAGGCACAACGAGTTCTAATGAAGAGAGGGGGTTGACCAGCAACGGAGGCAGTTTGATGTGTAAACAGAATGTCTGTTGGAGAAGATCAGGGACAGAGTTAGATGGGCTTGTGTTTCAGCCTCTGGCGTAGGAGCTGTTTGTACCAGTTCATGGGATTAACCATGCAATGCTAAAATATTTACATAAAAAGCCTCTGCATCGTCTCGGGTGACGGGTTGCCCTGCTCTGTGGTGTCATGTTGTATCTTGGTCAAGGCTGCCTGAGAGGCAGGCAGTGAGACAGGACCGGCTGCGGTGCTTTTTCACTGTTTCTTCAACGTGTAAGTATGCACTGTGAGTGAACATGCTGTCCGAGTCTCAGAAACCTCTGATCCTATATGTCTTTTAACAATTTACTTTTTCAGTTCTCTTCTTTTGTTTTCCAACTTGTAGTGTGAAATAAAGCAGACCAGTGCTGAATAGCCATGTCCCCAGCTCTTCAGTTGGTTGTGGGATCTCTGTATGGTTACTGCAGACTCCTTTCTCTTGCTCTCTTATCAGTCGTTATTCTCTTGAATCTAAAACCAGTGTAGGGTAATACAGTTCCAGTCTGAACATAAATTGTTTCCTAGTCTGCAGTATGTTACCTGTGCATTAAAAAGAAACACTTTGCCTTGAAAATCATTGAATTCTTGAATGTGTTTCATGTACTAGTACCTGAACCTGTCTAGTAAGTTCATGGGTTCCCTTAGCAGTGTTTCACTCTTTGACATAAATTTAGTCTTTGGCAGGGATAGAAGGTTGTTCACCAAGTGCACTTACAATTTCTTTCAGCTTCTCTTGTTTGATCCAATCCTTTTTCAGAAAGTGCAAATTTATGAAAGAAGGGTTCCCTCGCCTTTCCAATGATGTGTAGTGCAATTGCTGTGTTCTTATTGCAGTACTTTACATTTGCACATCACCATGTCAATTTAACACCCCTAGGCAGCTGAGAGAGATAAAAATCCGTGTTTTGAGATCAGGAGTGTAAGACAAGACTCCTGTTTGCTAAGATTTTTCTTTTTCTTTTTTACGTTTCCTGCTGTTTAGTTCTGATAACAGAGGCAAGATTGGATCCTCTTTAAATCAGGGCAAGGATTTCTCTCCTTTATGGAGCAGAAGTTTTTTGTTTGGGATATAGAAGATATAGCATCTTTGGATTTATTTTATTTTTAAGGAAGAAATGTTCATGCTGATCAGGATGCTTGTTTTCTCCTCCTTTTCTGTTATTCGTGGATTTCAAACATAGTAAATCCTTTAAAAGATAGGTGGAACTTACCTTACATCTGTACACAGCTGAGCACAGTGGGATCTTAGCCCCGATTGTGGCCTTGAGTAGCAATGATTTACAAAAGATTCCAGATCAAATGTCAGAAAGGAGTACAGACTATTGCTATGCAATTACACTCCTGTAGTGCCTATATTTGATGCATTCAGTGGGACAGGGATAATTTTTTATACAACTTGATTCTTTGGAATTCCTTTGATATAAAATGTCCTCTTAAATTTAAAATGCGGTGCTTGTCTTGCATCCTAAGCAATTTAAAATGTTACCTGTGTTTGTAGATGAACTCAATCTGTGGCTTCTAAGTTCGTGTTTGTGTGCAAAAGCAGTTAGGCTTGGATCTGGCATTAGTGGGTGCTTGCACATTACTGATGGCTTAAAAGTCTTTGTCTTTCCAAAAACACCTCTCTGAAAGTGGAGCAGCTATTGTGTTATTTCAGCTTTCTTCAGAGCTTCAGTCTTCTGAAAACAGCTTTTTTCCAGCTAAAAATTTCATCAAGTATATGGTGTATGAGGTCATATGAGCACTAAAATACTGATGGAGAGTTTCCACTCAGAATTAGCAGTTGAGGCAGTTGCTGTTTACTAACCATACATAATGATGGCTTCTAATAATGGCTTCTCTATAAGCATATTTGTCAGTTTTGTTGCTTCAACTTTTCTAAACTGCTAAGTCTCTTGAGGTCTTGCCTTTGGTATTAAGGTGCATGTTGTATTTTAGTTATGAACTAACACTGTTTTCATTGTCCTTCTTTCCCACTGCTGCTGCTTTTGTGCACTTGCTTCTTCCTGGCCTGGATTTTTTTGTTTGCTGTTCTTCGTTCTTCAATTGTATGTGTACACAGCATCATGGTGATAACAGAGACTCTCATGGACCATCAAGTAAGTGACTCCCTTCTCCTACAGTATGTTTGCACATATGTTCATAAGAGCATACATCTTTGCACATAGGCTGCTAATACTAAGTAGGCTAAATACTAGGTTTTCTTCTGTATTGTAGTTGAGAAGCTGAAGTACAATGAAAATTTACTGTTAGAAAAGTATTTTACCTGGCATATAACTCATGTAAATGTTTAAAATTTTTTTTTTTCCTTAGAGGGAAAAGTTTATTCTTCACCTCTCCCACTCATGGCTACAAAAAATAAATCTTTTAAATTACTTACCTGGAAGAGAAAAAGATATATTTATCAGTTTGAAATGAAACCTTCAAATGTTTCTGTAGTATAAAGACATGAGAATAATGGTTCAGAAACAGTTTTATTTTTGAGCTTGTCTGTTTATAGTACTATATGGTTCACTTAATTTCAATAAATTTACATCTTCAGAAATGAACAGGTGTATATATTGTAATACTCAAATAAGGATTGGATCTCGTGTGGTGATAGGGAAAACTTCAGTGTGTGTATATATGTGTATGCATGCAGTCAAAGATGTATTAGTGCCGCTGGTTGACGGGCGTTGGTATGATCGTATGATTGGCAGAGTAATTTTGCCTGGGATTAAGAGTTTGTATACGTGAGGAAAGGAAAAGTGCAGGCACAAATTCTTTCTTTTTCATGAGAAATCTGTGCAGAAGCAATGGTCTTAGCTGATATCACTTATTATAGACATTAAAAAATAATGTGGAACTGAATTATAATAAACCTTTTCCTATATCTGATGTCCTTGTGCTATTTTCAAGAGTGTAGGCACTTTGACATGCTCATTATAGAAACAGAAGAACATGGAAACTGCCACTTCAAATATTTTATCTGATGAAATAAATTGGCTGTAAAGACCCCAATTTGTGTTTCTTCTGATGCATGAATCTTAGTGACAAACTGTATATTAGTAATTTGATGGCCAGCATGAAGAAATTGAACGAAGTATGTATTATCAACTCTAATAGTTCTGTTGGTATTGAAATGTACTCTTCAAAGAGTCGCCAGGAGGCCTTGATATTTACTAATTGATGTTTCTTCTCTAAAATAAGCCTGTGCTCATCTTCAAGGAGATAGATGGTATGGGTTTAAACTCACTCAGGTAAAGGAAGGGATGAACGGAGGTCGTCTTTCTCTTGGATGAGTGCTCTGAAGCCTGAGTGAAAGTCTAAAAATAAATCACCACTTTGAGGCCTGTGAATGGAAGGAATGGTTGGCAATGCTATTGTAAGTCTTGTTGGACATGTTGAGCAAATCTACCTTTCAAGTTGCAGAGATGGCATGTGAAACCTAAAAAGAATTACAATCATAGAATGGTTTGGGTTGAAGAGACTTCAAAGATCATCTAGTTCCAACGCCCCTGCATCTCCCAAGAGCCTTGTCTTCTCCAGGCTGAACAACCCCAACTCTCTCAGCCTGTCTTCATAGGAGAGGTGCTCCAGCCCTCTGATCATTTCTGTAGGTGAGGCGTTCCCCAGAAACATGAAAAAAAAAATAAAATCATATTTTGGTTGTCCTCGCCAAAACTCAGCAGAAAGTGTGAGTGCTTTGAAGATCAGTCAGAAATGGAGTGTGCTTTTTGAGGTACACTGCAGGTACGTGGGGACACATTGAGTACAACACTGTAAGTTTCAGTTTGGTATTTTGGGCAAATAAGAAAGCATAAGTTTGACTAGGAACATCATTTATTCATTCATGCTAACTTTTATTTCACAAGTGAACAAGGTCACTAGAGTAAATGACCATTGCTTTCTTTCAGTATTGTTGCTATTTTTATTCTAAGAATGTAATGAAATTCCAGGATAAAATCATTCCATACTTCAGATGAATTCAAAATTAGCTATAGGACCATCAAACATTGTCAGTAAATGGATGACTTAAGTATATACCATATATTTTTGTATTGTATATAAAATCAGTCCATCAGAACCTATAAAGAGCAGCCAAGGAGCCTCTACAAATTGCTGAGTTATCTATTAATATGTACTAATTAAATCTACTCTCTTAAAAAGAGAGGGGGCTTAAAAAGGAGGCTGGCCTGGGGCACCTGTGGAGCACGGCAGGCCGTGAAATCCCATACCTGCGGAGCAAAGTGGCTGGTGGCTCTTTGAAAGCAACTTTCAGCTCATTGGTTGAAAGTTGGTGCTACTTCAGTGCATCGGAAACTTTTTTAAAATGAGTCAGTATAGCTCACTGCCCTCGTAGGGACCTGTTTTGTGTGAGGCCATGAAGCAGCTTTTTTCTACCCTCTCTCTTTTATTTTTCTTCTCAGATACTGGACCTTTTGTGCTACAGTCCCTTCCCAAGACTTCAGCAACTCCTCTGTTCTCCCCTTTTCCCCTTACTTGTAGCTGCAGGAAAAGAACAAGCTAGTTTGGTGGTTGTACAAGAAGAGCAAAGTCAGTCACTACTTTTAACTTTTTGTTGGCCTTTTGGCGCTGCCGGAGTTGAACTCTGGACTTGTAAAATGAGCTTTTCGCCTCCCTTGTCTATCTCCTCATGTATTTTTCCGGAACAGCAGTCTGCATAGGGTATAGTTTGCCTGGAGTAGAGCTTTAGATGGTTTATTTGATGTAGAAAAATAGTACAGGTGGGTATCCTGGCATCCTTGCATTCTTCATACCGCCTTGTGTTTATGCTAGGCTTTGCTGAAAAAATGTTTCTGTTACTGTAATAATAGTAGAAAAAAGCTAAGAGGAGGGCCCCTCTGGTTTGCAGATTCCATCCAGAAAATGAAACTTGTTTGTTTAAACTAGATCTTCTGCTGAACTTTTAAAACTGTTTGAGGAAAGCTTGAAAACTCTTAAAATGAGCCGCATCATAAGTTCCAATTTTTTAGGCAGGCTCTTCTCTAGTGAGCATCTTTTGTTTCCCTCTCTGATCTCTTTGTCAGTATATCTACTTCCACAGGACAGGTGTTACTGAGTCAGCCATTCTTCTGCTATCAAAAAAGGTACAGTTTTGTGTTCAGCTTAAGGAAATGTACAGACACCATAAACAGGATGGCTGGCCAGGTGATCGTACAAATAGCTAGAAGACATCAAAGTCCTTCAGACTGATAACGTTCAAGGAGAGTAACTCTTCTGCTCTAAGCATTTCCCTTGACAGAGTCTATAGATGATCTTTATTAGTAAGACTTGTTTCTTGTGATGTATGTACATACATTCATCTTAGCTTTCTGGGATGATGGCACAGCTTGATCCGGCAAGACATTTTTTTGATTGGCTGTGTAGTGGCTAGTTAAACCAAGAACTATCTACAAAAGTGGCAAGTAAAGCAGGATTTCAGAAGTTAAGTAACAGCTCAGTGCTGTATCTGTATTCAGTAGTAGCCTTTCCTATCTTCTCCTAGTTTCTGTTTCATCTTCTACCTCATGACTTAGACCAGTCTTGCTGGCTTCTTTCTGCCATCCTCTCCAAAGCAAATCTCTGGTTTGAAATCCTCAATTTCTAGAATGAAAAATTTGGCAAGACAGCATTTGAATACCAGCTTCATAAATAGCAGTGAAGTTGTTAACAGAAATCTATGCACAAGCACATAACATCATTGAATGAGCATCCACTTTGTATTTCAGCAGTGGTAACAAACAGCGATGAATCTCAGCTTTTAACTCCAGGAAAAATGAGCCAGCGCCAGGGGAAAGAAGCCCATTTTACTCCAACCAAAGAGTTACTCCAGCCATCTCTCAGCCCAGGAACTGCTCACAGCCATGGTAAGACAAAGCTACTTTTTACAGAGGTTTTAAAGAACTTAAATGCTGACATTAATTATCTGTTCCAAATATTGTTTCAAGAACACTGCCTTTCACAATAAAGAGGTAAGGAAGAAAGCCTATTGAAATATTGTACATAATTCTTTGTATCCTTTTTTGTTAATCTGAAAGAGAAAAAAATGTATGCTGTGGTGTGCTAGTTTATTAAACCATGCTATGATTTGTGGGAGAACAGTCCACGTGATGGTAAATCGTTATCTGTGTGTAATCCTGTAACCAAGGGTCATGTTAATGTCTCAGGTATTTCAGGTATTTCACTTCTGTGTCTTTATGCAGAAGCGTTACGATACACCTCCTAAGCCTGGAACCTTTGTGTAAAGATCTTTTAACAGTTACTTCTACGGAAAGATCCTTCTCTTTAGGAAAAAAAAAAAGTCTCAGCACTACTTTTTGCCAGCTTTAAAACAGTCCCTCTGCCTTGCTAAACCTGTTGAAAACAAGCTCTCAGTGGGTCCATGTGAACTGATTGGATGCAAAGTGAAATTTGTCAGTAGACCTGACATGTTTAAAAAACAAAACTGAAAAACAAGCCATAGTTGCTTCTTTGTGCTTATTTGCATTTGAAACTGTGTTGTCTTATTGCCTAGGATATCATTAGATATGTTTGTTATGGTGTGTGGAGTCCTTAGTAAAAATTTCAGGCTTTTTTAAATTACTATTCTCTCTCCTTTTACTCGACAGCCATGCTAGTCATGTATGCTTCCTTCAGCTCTTGCCATGAGTAGTGGTCTTGAGATTTCTTTTGGTATGAGCCTCCTTAACTCCCATTGTTTGCTTTGTCAAAGTAATGGTATTAGTCTGTCAGAGTAATAGACGCAGTTTTTCAGGTAACTTTGAATCATTTTCCTGTTTTCTCATTCAGTATCGTTCAGATAAAAAGAAAAAAATCTTTGAAACCAAAGGTAGTTGTTACTATGTTGAATATCTGGTAGTCTTTCAGTGTATTTTAAGAATTATTATGGTAGTATTTTCAGTGCTACCCATAGCTAGGTCTGATATATTTTCTAAACGCTGCTGTTACCTCACTGGAACTTGATGTTCTCTGGCTTGCGTTGTGCTTAGTCGGAATGATTTTCTGTAGAATATATATGTATATATAAAAAAAACCCTTGTTTGTATTTTTTATTATGTTTAAAGAATTTTTTGGTTATTCTCTGTATGTACTGTGTTGTATCCCTTATTAGACAAATGTCGTAGTTATATATTTGAATATTGTAGTAAAGTCTTCCTTTTAACGTTGCCATTGCCTCTAATTTATAAGGGCACACTCTTGTGTTTTTTTAAGGGCTTTCACTCTTAGGAAAGTCATTAACACAGGCTTGAAGAGCACTAAGACTTGATTGTACTATGTCAAACTCCTTGCAGATATTGTCTCCTCTTCTGAATTTTTTTCCTTGTGATTATTTCAGGGCTTATATGAGTGATTTTAAGCTGGTGAAATGTATCTGGTGCCTTTTTTAGCATCGGTCATCACTGACTTAGTCTTCGAGGAGCACTACTAGAAATGAGGCTGTAATTTCAAGAAACAAGGAATTCGGCTTGCAGTCCATTTCAGTAGTGAAAAGGTACAATGGGGACTAGGCTTCAGCAACCTGTAATTGCTAACTTCTAGCCTATCTGCAGCTTGGGAGCTCTAGGTTTGGTTTTTATGGAGGTGGTTGACCCACATTTAGATGTGGTAGTTATTCCTACAGGAAAATTACAGTGCTGGTGAAAACGTGAGCTTATTATTTAGGGA